TTGTTGCGATAGGTTCTCCGGCGACAAATTTCAAGTAATTATAGATTTGTTAGAACTTGATGATTTTTTATACATAATTTCAAGTAACTATTACTTATTATAGTTAATTATAAACAGAAAATATCAGAGACAAATAAAACTAATCGTAGCAACCAAAAGTATCCAAGCTTACACGGTCAGGTATCGTACTCTCAACATTACAATAAGAAGGTTAGTACTTATTTTTTGACTTCATTATCGTATTTATATGTTTGTGATGATTGTTTTGGGTGGCACATCTTGCAGTTATGGTGTGCCGAAATCTTTTAAAATTATTTTTTTACAGGTTTTGATTTTTGGATCATATGAAAAATAAGTCGTTATGCTGCCAAAATTTAGTTAGAATTTAAGAATTTTAACAAATGTAATTTATTTGACAGTTCAGTACGGAGACCCAAGAGCTGATGTCTGCCATAGACAATTGGGCAGAAATGCATCGTGGTGGGGCCTCTTGGGTTAATCCCCAAGCGGAATAGACTTTTGCAAGTATTTTTACTTTTCATATTAAATTTTTTTATACTGAAATAGTGGTTTTATAAGACGTAAAAACAATTATAATGTCTTATATTATGTAGAACACCCTGGAGGAGGAGAGACAAATGCAGAGAAAACACAGTCTATTTCAAGCTCGACTAGACCCGCCTTTGACGAGCATGGGGTTTTGGAGCAAGTTCTTGGCATGCATAGAGGACATAAGATAGGAGTGGGTCCGACGCTCTCCCAAAAGCATTACTCCGGGGCTTCTCCTTCATCTGCTGGTTCATACTCAGATGCAACATCATCGGCTCAACCTGACCCACGTGTGAGTCGTTATTTAAAGAAATCGTACCAGGAACAAGTTAACATTTATAACAATCAGGTGAATGTGTTAGAGTTGGTGGCTAAATTGCAGCCAAACATCCAATTACCTACGATTGATCGTCCAGAACCAGTTGACCTAAACGCTCTTCTATATCCTTTAGATGATGACAGTCCTAATGATGATTCAGCTGTTGGCGATACTGCAAACTTAGACGATTAGTTCCGTTATACTATTTTATTTTTCACTTTATTTAGACTTTAATATTTTTTTAAACATTATATATGCACTTCATGTAGTATTCATAATATATTTTATAAATTTATTTAGATTTACTGTTTTTAATATTAATTTATATTTCATTTTAATGCATCTTAATAAATTATATTAAGTATGTAACATAATAATTTTTAATTAAAATTATTAAAAATTAATTAATTGTCATTTTTTAAAAATTATAAAAAAAATTTATTTCGGTTTTTTGCGACGACTTTTTAGATTTGTCGTCGCAAAAAAACGAGGTTATTTGCGACGACAATTTGAAATGTCATCGCAAAACTTATAATATCACGATAATTTTGCAACAGTGTATTAGTGACGTCTGTCATCACAAAAACATTCTGCCGTTGCAAATACGGTTGCGACAACACTATGTCGTCGCAAACAAAGTTTTTGCGACTAATTAGTTGCGACGACAAATCTGTGACGACACGTCGGCGCAAAAATAGTTATTTGCGACAACATGCAAGTTTTTGCGACGACTTTTTGTCGTCGCAAAAACACCTTTTTCTTGTAGTGTCTACAGTATTTTTCTCTCATAAAAAACACACATAAAACAAAAATAATTTTAAATCATAATTCTAAATCTATGAACCAAACGTCCAATTAATCAACAGAGAGGTTCATAATAGGACTGCAGTGAGCCCACTGAATTTGTGGGAAAGTGGTGTTTGTGATTGGCTACGGAGCGGTCCATGGCTCCATGCTTCTCCCTGGTCCCCGCCTTGTAAAGCATATTTAATTATGGAGAAAAATATGAGGTTGTTTCAAGTTCAACATCGTCTCTTTCCTTGACTAATTAAGCAATCTCATGTTATTTGTTACCTTGTTACTTTTTTTATTATTATTTTGACTAATTAAATAATCTTATGTCATTATTTGTTAGTCTTTCTTACTTTTTCTTTTTTATTTTGACCAATCAAATAATCTTACGTCATTATAGTTTATGTTAATCTTCTTTTATTTTTTATTTTTATAAAAGTTAGTCTTTTTATTTGTAGGCGTACTCAGCGCTCTAATTGGATAAAAGAATAATTCATTTTAATTTTTAACAATTAAGTCTAAATTTATTTTTGAGCAATTGCTGTAAATGATAGTGAACTTTTTAATAAGTGACTACATTTTTTCTCTTGAAGAAAAAAAATGAGTACTTGATTCTTGATCTTTAATTATGAAAATTAAGTAATTAAGTTATCATTTATTTCATAGATTCGAAGTATTATTCAAAT